ATTTCCGCGAAATGAATTAAAAAAATAGGTCGTTAATTTGGCAAATAATTTTCGTTCAGCAAAACAAAAGTACAAATATATGATTTTTAAACATGCTGAAAAATGTTATTTAGTAAAAATGTAATATTTCTTTGTTATAATATACTTTTAAGCTCTTTTATGTCTAATTTCTGTACATTATTAATGCGTTTATTGCGTTTATTGCGAAATTGTTACATAAATGCACAAAGATAAGATCAAAATTGAAAGATACGTGCAAGTTTCTAAAGAAGGTATAATAATGGATGTGCTATATATATACGTTCTAAATATTTTCTGTAATATGACTATTACATAAATGTAAAGATAAGATTAAAACTAAAAGGTAATATGCAAGTCTCTAAAGATAGTACATAATACGTTCTGCAGATATGATATGTGCTTTTAAATGGCCGATATATTTTTGCAATTTCCATACTCAAACGATACGAAATACGATCTGCGTTGGTATTCGCAGATGAAACGTATACCCAAATCTCGTTTAAGCGTACTAATGAAACAAATGGGACGCGAGATACATACAATTTATGGCGACGAAGCATTGTATTCGTATACACGTGATATAGAGAAATCCGCTAATTAATACCGTTAATTGCGATCGATCCGATTATCGATCTCGAGCGGGCAGACATAGGACGGTCTGCGCCGTGAAACCTGTCGATTAATATCGATTACATTCATGTCTATTACGACACGTGGCCAACTCGACGCTGTAAAATCGTACGAGGCGATAACGAGATCTAATTCTGTCGCGCATTGCATAATGAATAGCGAGTAACAAGGAACGAGCAACGACTGTTGTCACCTGTCACTCTCCCCGAGAATGCTGTCGTGTTTCCTCGCTGGTGTAAAATAGAACACGATCGCATTATAATAATGGCAATTGATTATTTTTGTGATTACCCAATGTAATTGAGTAATTAAAACGTACATAAGTGCTCGTAATTTAAAACGATTTTTAATCAAGCATATACATTCGAATTTTCAATATATTTTATTATATTGTACACACAAATGTGTTTAATATTAAATAGTCTAAACATTTATAATGTTGAAAATAAGCTTTGTTCGTTCAAGAAGTAGAACATATGAAATATTAATGGTATATTAATAGAACGGTTTTAATACGTTTCATTAACATGAATTTATTAACTATTCAATATCCGAATATTGCATAATTAGTTTACAAATGTTTTAGTCAACAATTTATACATCATTGAATCATAATCGAAGCGCGATAAATAAAATGTACGATGTTACCGGCAAATTTAACATGAATATGACAAAAACATTCTTTCCAAAAAAAACTTTTTATTATCATTTAAAGACTGTGTGTGAATTAATTACAATGGGATTTCAAGTTATTAAAATTGTTTTATATTTTGGATAAATTCAGACGGTAATTAAGTCAATAAATGTGAAGGTTCTTATAATAAAGATATTGTTCGAGATTTTTCTAAAACATTTTTCGTTTCACTCAATCCATCACACAATGCAGAGTTTGAACAGAAATTTATCAAAGGCGTCGAAGTGGAAAAAGTTGAATAATAGAAACTTTCTATAATTTTAATATTTTTAAATCAAAAAGCTCAGATAACTTTTAATGAGAGAATCCATTGCGGAATTTTAATATACATGGTAGAGGAATTAATAGATTGGCGAGTATTACTTGAACGAGGCATTGTTTACTTAGTATCCGCATTCCTACATAAATAATACTCATTATTTTAATTAATAATCAACTCAATTTGTCCGAGCTTCATCATCAGAAATTACGAGGAAACGGGTACTAGAAAGTTCCGTTAAAATTACATACTTTAACCGAAAAGATTATTGTAAAATATGAAGATAAAATACATCCGATTTTTCGCAAAGTTGTAAAAGCATTCGTATTTCATCGTTGTCTGCACTATATATATTCGCGCTTTTGTCCCTTCAGCAAGTCGTTGGTTCAAACTTGCACTGTGTGTGTGTGTGTGTGTGTGTGTGTCATACATTTCATCCCTTCCGGCCTCTCGGTTTACTACGTCGTCTCTGTCGAGTTGCTGGAGCGAAGCATAGATGCAAGAAATCACGTATGTGATCGCAGATAGCCGTCGCGTTATATCGTTACGGATCAATTATCTCAGTAATGTAAGGTATTAAATTTCTCCTTTTTTCTGTTTCTCATACCACTCGCTTTTTCCAACTTCCTTCCCTCTCCTTCTTCCACCTTCTCTTTTTCTCTTTCCGTTTCTATGCCGAGTTAACCCGGTAGCCTACTTCTCGACGCCAACAGCCCGTAGGCTTTCGAAAATACTCCACACGGCTGTTTCCAATGCGGTCACTTTGACGCAAGGTGCCAAAAGATAACGACGATAACTAACTTAAGACTTTTGTGCCGACCATCGGCGAGACTTTCCTACGCGAGAGACGGAACGCGGTTTCAAAAAATTTGGTCGCATCCCCGGGTTAAGATGAACTAAAGTAAATCTTAGGTCTGTTTTTTTGTGGCTGAACTAGTGTACACGTTTGGAACTTAAAGTGAAATAGGTATAGATTTGATATTTGGCGAAAGCGAGAAAGAGAGTTCTCTAGTGCAGTCTAATCTAGAAATAGAAAACAGACCTCTTGAGAGAAGTGTATTAAATCCACTCACCACGTCGGCAACGTTGCCGGAGCCCTCCCTCATGCCATCCCTGTCCGTGTGTCCTTCTGAAAGAGATAATAACGCATTTCGTCAGTAAAGATATTACGTATTCTTTCATCAAGATATAAATATTCAATCTCGCGAAGATGCATCTCTCTTAATCTTCTGCGGCATACGTTTTTCTACTAGTTCAATTTCAACAAAATTTGATATTCGTGAGATTTTTCGAGGAGATTAAGGTGTGATGATATTACACTTTTCCAGAAGGAACTCAAGTATTACAAACAAGGAGTAAAAAATATTTAAAAAATGTAAAAAATTTGTAAAAATCGTAAACGACTGAACAGAATATAGGTATGTAACTATACCGCAAAAAGTTAATCAATCGATGTATGTTTACATTAATGGATTGGGTTGGAACGAAAGTCCGCAGCGCTACTTCATTTGCATCATGTTAAAAAAAACACTTTAGCAATTATACTATTCGATACTATGGAGCAGATAGATAGAGCGAAGTTTCAGCTTTAACAACCTATTTAATTTTTTTTTTTTAATTACGTTTTTTTAAATTATATTTTATTTCACGGAATTACGAGCAATCAAAGTTAAAATGCTCCTTTTATTTAATCCGCAATAACTCGATAACAAAAAATTTAAAAAAAAATAATTTTGTTAGGAAAACTTTAAACTTTTACGTTAGAAAGTGGTAAATTTTCGTAAGTTTTTTTTTTGAGCACGTGACAGGTCCATAAATTGAGAAGAAAATTTCTCATTTTGTCCAGTTCATATAGTTTTATGTAAAAATTATCAAATTCACAGAAATTTAAAAGACATACTGATCTTCCGAAAGTAGGAATATTAAGCTTTAAAACTTTGTTTTAAATTTAAATTTCGTTTATTTTTAACAAAGTTACAGCTGTTTGAATTTTGAAGTTCGTAGCGCTACGAACTTTTGTTCCAACTCAATAAATTAACTTTAATCCCAATTCAACTTACTTGTCATCTTTTTAGAATTCTTAAAATTAGCAAAAGATGAAGAACAAATTTGATTGAACCAAAATTAAAGTTAATCTATATCGGTAAAAATTAGACGTGAGATTTATTGATATTTTTTACGGCATATAACTGTTTAAGAGCTGTTTGCTATACAAATCTACGTCTCTCCGAATAGAATTGATGCCGAGGCGAAATTCGAATCGACGAAGCACGAATCGCCGCAGATTTCAAACTGCGAACAATAAAAATAAAAGATTGCTAAAAGAAAAATGGAAAACGCGCGATACAAAGAGGAAAAAATATGTTACTCGATTCGTACGCAACACAAGTTGTCCGCATATTTCGTCAAATTATTAGAGTAGACGATAATAAGCGATAATTAATCAGAGATATTGATAGGAATTGCGAAACGATCGATTTCGCGAACGTGAAAAACTTTTCCATCGGATTTCCGCTGTATGTCACGTAACAGCGACCATTGAAACGGAAAATTCCGTTCGTGCGTTTCGTGCAGCATCTTTCAGATGTAAATACAGCTAATAAAGACAAATGGATTCAGCAAACGGAGTGCTGCCACCGGCGAACAGTAGATCCGGAATTTTTTCAAGCCGCGCGCTCTTATACTTTCCTGCATATTAGTCTCTGCAAAATAAAGCGGAAACTCTAATCAGGCTACGAAATTTTAATGTTGGGGGATGCTAACTTCACATACATTTCCTGCATAGAGAATGAAATAAGTTCATGAGATTTAGACTTGGATGAGGCTTCCTCAAAGAGAAGATTTAAATAAAATATGTAAATAAGCGGTAAAAAATGTATATAAAAGAAGTAAATCAAGGAAATTATCGCTGAAATGAAAAAGACAAATTGACTCATTAGTTAGCGATGGCTATATAATATTTACAAATTTACGGGCAAAAATATTCCTAAATTGTTAATTAAGGCAAAAAAATATTTTTTGTGTAACTAATATAGTTATCTATTAATTAGCAATATTCTTCATAAAAAAAAAGTGTAAAGAGGTTAATTTATAATTTAAAATGTGTTCTTTTCCGAAAAAATGTTGTGAACCGGTGCAATAAATTACAATAAAACAAATATAGAATAGTTTGTTTCACTTCAACTTATTGCATAAATGTATACCGGTTCAGAAATTCATTCTTCAAAAGGACAGACCTCTAGGCTTATAATTAAAACACTCATTGTAAGAAGAAACAAAGTACTGCTAGCAAGTCTATAATATGAATATGAAGTTGAAGACCATGCAAACTAGTTTATAAAGTCATGAGAATAAAAGTAATTGTAAGGACTATCAAAATACAGTCACGGTAACAAATATAACTTAATATTTGTAGCTGCGACAACACTACAGAAACTGTTAGTCAAACTATCTTAATATAGTTGGACCGTCGCTTCGTTAGTACAAACTAAAATAGTGGTGAAACAACAGGACAATAATACAGTTATATTGATTTTAAGTACAAGAACTCGTAATAAGCTGCGACAATTATACTCTTCCGGCTTAGACAAATATTTTCCTAAAATGAATTAAACGGTACAATGACACAAACTTTTTCTATGAATAACATATTTTTCATTAATATAGCTATATTATTTTTGTAGTCTATTCAACCATAATTACTACTACATGGAAAGGAGGATTTAGATAGCGTCGTCAAACGTTTATTATGTCCAAATGCAGAGTGTCCGGTCTTTTTCTATCGATCCAAATAATTCATACAACTTTCATCTGAACTTTAAATCTGAATAAATCTTACATCATTGTTTATATGAAAATCGGTTGTACAATTATTTTTAAAGACACGTCAACGATGCAAGACAATCTAAATGCACTGCATCCATTGCACCTCGGCTCGAAACGATCTTAAGTTCAGACAAATATTTTTATTTTTGTAGTCCAACTATAATTACTACACAGAAAGGAGGATTTCGATAAACATTTTTTTTTAATGAATCAAACAGTACATTGATACAGATTTTTGTGTGAATAACATATTTTCGTTAATACTGTCTTATTTTTTTGTAAGCCCATCCAACTATAATTACTACGGGAAGAAGGATTTCATTGAAGTATTTAAAAATTTAGGTAAATATACAGTAAAAAAACATTGCGAATTTGTGTTAGAAACGGTCCACTCAAGTCCTCGTTAAAATTTTGTGTTGAATTTTTAACATATTCGGATATTAATTTAACGTAATATAATTATGTTATTTTAATAATTTGTGTTAAATTGATATTCAAAAAATTTCTTAGTATCAGAATAATACAGTTTATGAGTAAATATAATAAATAAATAATATAAAAATGTGTTTTAAAACATATAAATTCGAAGATGAATAAAATATATGTTATTTAAATATAAATAACATATATAAATGTTAATTGTATTAAAAAAATATATACTTCCGGTATACGGTTTGTTTGCAAACTGTGTCAGTATTACCTTCTTTGTGCTTTTAATATAATATTTTTGTGATACTTTCTAACCTATTCATCTTGTACTAAATCTTACATTTTAATTTAAGTGGACCGTGTAAGACATATAAAATGTGTTAAATGTAACACAAATGCTTCAACGGTGTACAGATTTGAAAATAATTTTGTTTGAATTAAAATAATTATTAGTTCAATATACGATGGCTGAATAAGATGGCTAATTGTAATTAAGCCAAAACATGCTGTCTCGTGTATTTATATTACATAAAATTTTCAGTAATTTAACACTAATTTTTACTCGTTCCTTTTAGCCTTATTATTTATTCATATATTGTAGGCGTACGAGCGAGTTTTTTGTTTATTTTTCAAAATAATTATGTAGAACGCTCAAACTGAATTGCTAGAATGTCAAAACTTTGTGCAGGACTTTGCTCGTCATGCTTGAGATTCATACACGTAATTATTTTAACGGTCCAACAGAATTATTTTCACGTCTAGTTAAATTTTTCAATTTCTTCAGTAAAATCGTTCTTTTCATGTACAGACGATTATTAACATTGTATTTCCTCACTTTAGATTGATTGATTCCGCTTGTCGTAATTTCGTAGTTGAAGTTTGTTATCTACTTTCTTCAATTTTCTAGTTGCTGTACTGTTTTGTTTTCTTCTTATATACAACACAAGTTTCGAATTAGAAATCACCATCAGCTTTCATAAACACGCCGGAATCGACGCAACGTTTTCCTGAAGTGTAAAGCCTTTTTAACTCTCAGGCGGGGTCAGCTTTTCCTCGCGATCGCGAAACGGGGTCTCGCGCGCGGCAAAGAATTCTGTGTTCCGCTGCTACACCGCTTTCTCGCGAAAGTACACTAACCGGAGAGCGTACGTGATGGCGAAATCGGTTCGAATCGGCGCGACGGCGGCGACGCTGGAGTTTGCTACCGTAACGCGTTCAATACGATTTTACAGCTGCTTTTACAGCTACTCGAAATTAAAGTTTCCTTCAAAGCGTCGTCGAACGTTGAAAAGGCGCGAAATCAAACCTTTTTTTGACGCTACCACCTTTGCCTTTAAGTCTAGAATGCGGAAAGATGACGATGTATTTATTGGCGTTTTATTGGCAATCTGTTTTTCCGAGCGGCACCGCGATCTCTCGAAATTTCTTGGAGTTAAATCTCACTTCAAAAGAATGGAAATAGCACTATTGAAGGAGAGTAAAAATATTTGTACTCTTAAATAAGAGTAGCAGATTTTCACCCTTTTTGGGAAGGGGAAGGAGGGGGGAGATGAGATTTCACTTTTTTGGAATGAGAGTCACTTTAAAGGAAGGAAGTCTTATTCCAAACGATGGAAATTTTATTCCAAAAAAAAAAAAAAAAAAGTTAAAATCAGCTACTCTTGTTCAATTGAGCGCAAATATTTTCATTCTTTTTTAATAGTGGCAGTATTTTTGTCATTTGAGTATTTTTTCGAAGTTTGTAGGATCATGTGGAACCGAGATTGTTTATATCGCCCAATATCCGAAATAATGGAAATTAGCCACAATTTGATCGGTTATATCTCGAAAACTGTTAGTTTTAAAAGGTCGCGCTCATTGAAACTTTTAATCAAGATTTAATCACATGTGAAACTACAATTTCCCAAAATATGAGAAGATTTGACCGAGAACCAAAATCCATAAGAAATGTGTAGGGTTCTTTAGAGAGTATATTATAAATTTCCCTATTATTTTTGTAGTATATAATGTTTTTCAAGAATAAGGCCCCTGTACTTTTCAACCGAACTTCTTCTATGGTTCTCCTTTTCTCTCCATGTTGGAAGAAAAAAAGACAGAAAAGATAAAGGAGTTGCAAGAAATTCAGCTAAAACTCAGGTAGAATACAGAATATATCATAATAAAATCAAGATAACATCAAGTTGAAGTTATTTTTTAAAAAGTCAATAATATATATATAAATAATATTTGATACACTTTTGACGATAATTGTGATGAATATATATGATAATGGTTATTAAGTAATTTCTTATAATTAGTTAAAAAATTATTTAAAAATAATTGTCAAGAATTAATCACAAAATCGTTGTAAAAAATCAAATTGCCTTACTTTAAAAGTAATACAACTAAAAAAATGTGATATTCGAGTTATTACTATAAATAAGTTAGAAAAATGTAGGTATGTTAAATTTAAAACATTCACGGTCCACTCAAAATTTCATGTCCACTTAAATTTTTGTGTTAATTTAACACAAAATCAATCTGTGAGATAGTAACACATATATTATGTAAAAAATTAACACAAAAAAAACATAACACTGACACAATTTGTAAGTAAATTGTGGAAGCATATTCTTTCAGTAAAATTATGCGTTTATATTTCAAATGTATCATTTTTAACAAATTATTCTTAATTTGTTACATTATTTTATAGAATATCCAAATTATCGCAACTCAAAAAGAATCATATTTTAAGAATTGTGAAATAAAAATGACAAACATAACATTTGATCATGTTTCTAAGAATATATTTTTTTTGCCAGTAATATTTGATTAATCAATAATGTTTTCAGGTCAAGTTGAAAAATAGTTTCCCCCCTTTTCTTACTTATTTTTTTTTACTTGTGTCACTTTTGAGGTAAAAAAACCGATATTATAATTTTCCCAAATTGATTTCTACTTTATATCATCTCGATCTTTATCATTACGATTTTATGTTTTATTTAAGAGAAAAAAATCTACCAAACGTAAATTCATCAAGAAGACACCGGTTAGAATCTGAGATTTTAGCAAACTAAGATGATCAAACTATTCGA